TGTTTAATGCATGATTTTGAATTTCAAATACAGTACATTCGTTCGTGCGTGTCTAGTACTTCTAGATTCAATCGAGTTATTTTTGGATTCTTAGTTAGTACTATAATTCAAATACTCCTAATTATCATACCAGCCCCAAGAAATTCACCACCTCCAGCTGAGTCAGACAGAAATACTCCTGAAGGATAAGATTATAATGTTCCACATAGAATTCATGTCCATGATTTAATTATATATAATCGAAAACTCACTTTTTGTGGAAGGAGCTAGCAAGAAAATGACATAATTATATTGGTACTTCCACCTTATATTCAGTCAGCCAGGCAATATTGTGGTGCGACTAGCATATGCTTCGTGTGAAGTCCTCGTTGGAAAGTAGGCGTAGTGTCGCCTGTTTTTTGCATTCGCAGCCAAAAAATGATTGGATTTACGACTTCCTCTGCCAATTTCTCTTAATTTTTACCTTATGTGTTATACTAAGTTTTCCTACTGTGTTCAAATGATAGGAAATGATAAATGTTATGGAGATAGACACCTTGTTTACAATTTGCAAGTTTTTGTAACATATTGTAGATGTACTTAAACATGACTGCCTAATCCATTTTCTGCTTACTTTTTGAATCTTACGTGAGAAAATTTAGCTTATAGGTTTCCATCCACTTTGAACTGAGATTTGCACTACAAATCCTAAGACAGATGATTCCTGTATTTACATTGTCAGAATAGACTGTCGTTGAAGCAACCAGAAATTTGATCCTACATAATACAGGATTCCGACCTGAGTGTGGTTCTTCAAGAATGTCATGTCTACATGTTCTGCACCTAAATATTTGGCTTTTAGTATGGTCCTTGTCAATATTCAGAGCTCAAGTAAAATAACAGTCAGCCAACGTTATTTGAGAGATTGCCTCGTAAATAAGCAATGACTTGTTTAAAATATACAATGACGATAGGCGTGTAGCACTGAAAATACTATATAGTAGACATAGGTAAAATGGATGTACGCATCACAGAATCATTTTTCCACGTAAGCACGGAATGTGTTCTATTCAGCAAAAGCAAAATAATTGGGCTGCCCAAATAAGGAATACAGCCGAACAGACTCAAAACTTTGGGCTGAAATTTTCTTTAATTGCCCATTTAACACGTCTGAAGATGTCACAGATATTCTGAGTTTGACAAGGCCTTTACACGTAACTCCCTTATAATCAAAGCATACCAACCCAGTCAAAAAATTTCGAAAAGCGTTTAGTCTAAGTTGGCTAATAGTTGCAGGGGATGCGTAGTATGGCGTACTCACTCGCGATATGTTGCGGGTGTGCAACCAAGCAGTTTCAGCAGGTTTGTCTAGTAAAAAACGGTCAACATCAATGTCAAAGACATACGAAATGATTTATTTCTGGGATTTTTTCGCTTTACACGTCCATAGACGATTGTTCATATATATATATATATATATATATATATATATATATATATATATATATATATAGATAGATAGATAGATAGATAGATAGATATAGATATAGATATATAGATATAGATATATATATTACCGCGCACCACACTTTCCTTGGACTATATCAATGGATACGAGAACCCCCCACCATGGTTCAATAATGAATTTCGCTTCCCCCCATCAGTAAGAGAATAAAACTTTTGTATAATTTATGGTACTGGCGTTTTTTTTCTGGTTAGCAGGACTCACCGACCTCCCAATTGATGTTGGCGCACCGACAATTGAAGAAATCAGCATGGCTATCAGACAAATCAAGAGTGGCAAAGCAGCAGGACTAGACAGCATTCCAGCAGAGGCACTGAAAGCAGACGTAGCGGCAACTGCAAGGATACTCCAAACTCTCTCCAGAAAGATCTGGGATGAGGAACAGGTACCAAAAGACTGGAAAGAAGGACTTCTAGTCAAAATACCAAAGAAAGGCGATCTCAGCAACTGTGACAACTACAGGGGAATCACTCTTCTCTCAATACCAGGAAAAGTCTTCAACAGGGTATTGTTAAACAGGACGAAGGACTCCGTAGACGCCCAACTTCGAAGTAAAAACCGGTGTCAGGCAAGGTTGCTTACTCTCACCCTTTCTCTTTCTCCTGGTGATCGACTGGATCATGAAGACATCAACATCTGAAGGGAAGCACGGGATACAGTGGATAGCTAGGATGCAATTGGATGATCTAGACTTCGCAGATGATCTGACTCTTCTATCGCATACGCAACAACAAATGCAGGAGAAGACAACCAGTGTAGCAGCAGCCTCAGCAGCAGCCTCAGCAGCAATAGGTCTCAATATACACAAAGGGAAAAGCAAGATTCTTCGATATAACACAGCATATAACAATCCAATCGCAATTGACGGAGAAGCTTTGGAAGTTGTAAAAATTTTTACATATTTGGGCAGTATCATCGATGAACACGGTGGATCTGATGCAGATGTGAAGGCACGGATTGGTAAAGCAAGAACAGCATATTTACAACTGAAGAATATCTGGAACTCAAAACAATTGGCAACCAACACCAAAGTCAGAATTTTCAATACAAATGTCAAGACAGTTCTACTGTATGGGGCGGAAACCTGGAAAACTACGAAATCCATCGTCAAAAAGATACAGGTGTTTATTAACAGTTGTCTACGTAAAATACTTCGGATCCGCTTGCCGGACACTATTAGCAACAACCTACTGTGGGAGAGAACAAATCAGATCCCAGTGGAGGAAGAAATCAGGAAGAAACGCTGGAAGTGGATAGGACACACATTGAGGAAAGCACCGAACTGCGTCACAAGACAAGCCCTCATATGGAATCCTCAAGGTCGAAGGAAGAGAGGAAGACCAAAGAATACATTACGCCGGGAAATGGAGATAGATATGAGAAAAATGAACAAGAATTGGATGGAACTAGAAAAGTAGGCCCAGGACAGAGTGGGTTGGAGAATGCTGGTCGGCGGCCTATGCTCCACTGGGAGTAACAGGCGTAAGTAAGTAAGTAAGTAATAGTACTGGCGACTGATGAGACAAAATCTCAGTATCGAAAACCCCAGAAAAGTTGTAAATCAAGAAGGTTATACGAAGAGAAAATCGTCAATGAATCCACAGAACGTAATAAACGCGTGTATTCGTGTATGAACCAAAGGATAGAAAGATGAGGAAATATTCCAGCTCCATGAGGAGACGGTACTGCTTCATCTTTAGTGGAGGATAACTTTGGTAAGGCTCGGGTTTTCTCAAACTACTTTAGCAATGTACATACCGTAGAAACGCACTTCTCATCAGTACCTAGAAATCCACCCACACAGACCGGATGGTCTGACCATTAAAGAACTCGATATCTTTGGTCTGCTAAATAAGCTTGACATTATAAAATCAACGACACCCGGTGAACCGCTTCCTAGGTTACTAAAGGAACCAGCCACCTTCGTTGCGAACACTCTACGTATATGCTTTAATCTATCTGCAACCCAAAGTCGTTTACCAAAAGACTGGAAGATCGTCATAGTCAGTCCTGTCTTCAAAATAGGTACGAAACACAAACCTCAGAATTACGACCCCTTAGCCTAACTAGTTTGGCTGTTAAAACCTTAGAAAAGATTATTCGGAAGGAGCCATTTAAGTACCTCGGTGAAAACCGGTTTCTTCTGGAGAAGTAGCATGGTTTTCGAATAGGTTATTCCATCTCGCTAACTTGTTAGTGGCTGGTAAAATCTGGTGCCCCCTTAGGGACTAAATGTTATCTGTAGACATAGCCTACATTGACTTCAGCAAAGCGTTCAACAAAGTTCTGCACAACCGGCTGTTGTATAAGTTAGGAAATGTCGGGTTTGCAGGCAATCTATTGATGTGGATAAAAGACTTCCTATTTGAGCGCCAACAAAGAGCACGGGTTAACTCAAAGACGTCCAGCTGGGAAACTGTACTTAGTGGAGTGCTTCAGGGTACAGTTTCGGGGGCCAGTGTTATTACTCTTGTATGTAAATGACCATCCTCGTCTACTATCATCATCCGTCTTGTTATATGCTGACGATGTCGAGGTGTGGAGAACGATTTGATGTAAGGGTGATAGCTTAGAACTCCAACGTGACCTGGAGAAATTATCTGAATTGTCGCAAACCTGGCAGTTGTCGATTGATACTTCCAAGTGTATTGTGACGCATATCGTTCATCAAGGTACAGAAACATACACGATAAAGGACACTGATCAACCTGTTGTCCAGACACAAAATGACTTAGGAGTCATCGTTAGCCAGGACTTAAAGACTATTGTACACTGCAATGCAATGGCCGTTAAAGGTCTCAGAATTTAATGTCAATACGCAGGAACTTTAGTCGCGTCTATTCTAAAAAGTTTTTTCCTTGTATATAGTGTTCGTGAGTCCTAAACTTGAGTGCTGCATACAAGTGGCTAGCTCCTGCTTAAAAAATCAGTAAGCACTTGGAGACGTTTCAGTGAATAGCAACTAAAGTGATTCCCGGTATAGCAAAGCTTCTGTATGATGCTCGACTGACCAAGCTAAACATATTACCGTTGTCATATTGAAGAACTAGAAGCGACTTCATCACAAATTTCAATTAGCCTAGCGATAAATTTGCACCCGATATGCCCTGATTTTTCTTGTTTTCCAAAACAGAGAATTTACGAGGACACTCAAAAAACGTTTGCGAGGCCAGAACAAATTACGTGTCACCTGACTATCGACTTTCCCATCGAATCATCAATGAGTGGAATTCATTACCTGAGCACGTGGTCGATGCTCCATCCCTCGAATTTTCACAGGAAAATCGGATTAACTGAGAGACTATCGCAGTCTGTCAAGCTTCCTGGGATTTACAAACTGAAGTATGTCAATGTTCCATCGTATTCCTAAATTTTCTAGCAAGCGTCTAGTTATTCTATATAAGACATACTTAACTGTCAGACGAGAACCTCAGAAATGTTAACTATTCATCAGGATACTGAAGATTTGCAATTTGAAAGGAGGCAAATACAAAACATGGATACCAGCGCGTGGACCAAAAAGGTTAAGTCTGCGAAAGCGACTGTTATTGTTGAAGATGGTAAGACGTCACTAATCTAACGATACCTTGTAGTCTTTTTTTTATCAGTAATTTTGGGAGTAGCTAGAAACTCTCCATCCCGCATTATAATTTGGGACTGAAATTAAGTAGGATTTCATTGCATCCATTTATATGTACTCTTTATCCATTTGGTCACGTCCACACATACTGAGAATCTTACATTGAATTTTCTTCCATATCTTAACAGGACTATATTGTTACGAAATGGTTTTTTTAATTTTTTATCGCAGTATAAAGAGAAGCAGTAGTGAATAATACCTTCATTTCTTAATACTACGAAACCTAAGTTCTGTCTTTCTAAAACATTGAGAGGTATTGCTTAGAAGTACACGCTGAGTATATATATATATATATATAAGCATATTCAAAATAAATTTCCCTTATGTTAGTCGCTTGAAGTGCTTGGACCGCGGCAACAATCGTCTGCATCGCATATCTACAGATAGCTACGTTTGCCAATGTAACTCGATCGTTATTCTAGCTATTTGATATACCATTTCAACTTAGCGGTACTTTAAGTCTTCATTTTCGTAGGCTACAATTAGTAGCTTTCAATTAATTGAAGAGCAGCAACTGTAAGATGACATATGATATACATTACGACGGACACGTCATTTTATGACTACATTTTCAACAAGTTTACGTACTTATATAAAAAATAAGATGCCAAGGCACTCATTAACTGCTTTCATATATATATATATATATATATATATATATATATATATATTGATGAGCCACCATCCGAAATAAAGTATCTTGATAAGTTGAAATCTTGCTCATTTTTCTTGTTAAAATTTTATAGGAAAGCGTAAGGTCCACTTCTTATTTCCTGAAGGTTTGCAAATGGTTGAAGAATATGACTTGTCTACCAATAATCTACTGAGTAAGTATGCCTTGTTCAAATCACCTTATGATCATAATGAGCAAGGAAATTTAGAAGCAAAACCGTACTTGGTGGGGACGGGCAGTGGGAATATGAAGTTGGAGAATCATTCAGGAGAGAAAACCAGTTTTCAGAGCATTTAATGGAGTCACCACAATCTGTATTTTAATATTTTCATTACCTTAGTAACAAAACTAGCCACTGTTCAGTCGTAGTGATGTTCCACATGCATTCCAATGGCGTATCCGTAACTTACCTTACCCATTAGATGTGTACAGAGTAACCGTTGAAGATGGGAATATTTTATTGCGGACCACCAACAAAAAGTAAGCACCACACTTTGATCTTCAATAGTTCGATTACTTCCAATTCAGATATTACAAAAAGTTCAACATTCCGGATATGACCCGAATGGGTTTACCCCTAAACGAAAAGTCCATATCATTGACCCATGCTAACAACACTCTTCTGATTTCGGTTTGTGATCTCCTTATCTAATGTGTCTTCTTTCTTCTAGTACAAAAAGCCGGAAGAAATCTTAGAAAACGAAAAACTAGTCCGGCAATACGTAAGTACATTAAAGCCAGTAGAGCAACAAGAAGATTGCAAGACATCCTGACCAAATATAATAGTTTACTTATTCCTTACAACATTTTCCGATGCGTTATGACTCAGCTTCTTGTTTTGTCCTCGCACATCCTGAAAGACAACTGGCTGTCAGCAATTTAGAACGTGAAATGTATGTCAGCTTAGGTTGCCAGAATACACCAGGAGCGTAGTCACAATATATGAAGACGAATACCATGGTAGTTGTTTCAGCTATAGCGGAAAAAATCAGCCACAAGCAATATAACAAGGGCAAAGATAACTAAGCTGAATAAAAAGTAAGGTAATTTTCAAACTAAAGATTAAATGGCCCCTTTGGAATCGATTCTGTGTTGTCATCTGTCATCTCTAATCAGGTGGTTTGTAACTATCAGCATGACTTAGAGGAACAGTCAATGAGGTCATTGACTGAAGCTTGTGATTTCGTCTGCTATTTCTATACTAATAATTTACGTAAACTTAAAAAAACTTTTTCACGTGTATAAGTGAGTAATTAGACTGTCACTGTTTGTTACATAAAGGTTTAGGGACATTTAGAGCAGAAAACTCCGGAGAAACGGAGAATTGTCATCCAAGAAGACGTCAGACCGCCCCGATGGTTTGAAGCTTATTAACCCAATAGTTCAAAGGTCAACGTGTTTGCAGGGAAAACCTATAATTTTTACTTGTGGATCAGACTTCTCCCTACAGTGATTTTCTCCGGCGAAAAGTTCAGCAGCCAATAATCAGTAACTCTTATGGCACTCTTACTACACATCAAAAATACCGAAAGACTTCTAAATGCCGTGAATATAATTGCAAGAATTTTTTGTCTTATTGAAACTTACTCATTAGCCAGTATGTTGATACTGACTCGTATTGTGCTTTGATCTTATTATAGACAATCGTTCCCGTGTAGAAAGTGGGGGATTTGTTCTATTTCTGGGTACTCATTTGTATGTTTAAAATCATTCTGAGAATTTCATACTTATGCTTTAAGATGTATTAATGACTTTACAAACACATATAAGTGATTGAAAATTAGATGACTAGTTTGGAAATAGAGGAATCTATGGTATCTGAGATCACAGATGAACTAATGGCATGAACTTTAAAAACTGTTGTAGCAATGATAAAAAGAAAAATTACCACGTTATTTTCACCCCACCTGATTTGCATATGATATGATCACTTCCCTAGCGTAGCTTTGTTCATTACACCGTAACAACAGCTCATTCATAAATAACCTCTAGGAGGGATTTTATCTTTCAACCTACATATGATACTGATCTTGTAAAGGGATAAGTCAGAAACTGAATTTTATTAAAAAAAAACTTGCGCATATAGAATTTTAAAATTACGGAAATTGTTAGACGTTATAAGTAGATGGAAATGTAGTACAGAACTGAATCCCATCAGAGGGTCATCTTTAAAACAGCATTATAACCGTAGTACCACAATCTGTAATTAACATTAATGTTTGAATGCAAAGCTTCTCACAGGGGGACAATAGCCAGTATGATGTATCGACTTTTAGTATTTGTGAATAGCTATCGTGACAAGTACCAATATGAACAAATTTCAGATTTCCCAAAAAGGTAATAATGGCTGTAGGGCTCAACCTGAATGATATTCAAATACGATATACATGGAGCTGAAATTTTTAAGCGTTTCGTGAAAAACACCATAATAAATAACTAAGGGTACAGTAAAATCCAAAAAATGCGTTCCATATATTATTTACGTCTATACTCGGTTTTCTGTAAAAATATAAGTACACAGAAAGAAACACCGAGTAAATTTCCGAAATAAAACAATAAGTCGTCCAGAAAGAGTTCAAAAGACATTTCGTGAATGTGATTTCTTCAAGTTTAAACTGGGCATGATATTAATAAAACTGCGAAAGCCATTCACAAAACTTTAGGATAATAAACACTTTGTTATTTCTATTGTCCTGTCGATGGATTTACAGGTTAATGGGGTTATAAGTGAGCGATTGTGTCTTATGACTGTAAAATCAACATATAAATTATGTTCATGAAATTACAATTAAGGTCACATTAAATAACAAGATGTAGTGTTTAATTGAAGCAGAAAACCAAAAGTATAATAGTCACTTCAAAAGAAGAATATACCCTCACTCATTAAATACATGGATGGGCAAACATACACTATTCAAGTTATACCTAAGGACCAATTTACGTATTCAGCATTATTTAACTCACAAAAATCTCTAACTCAGTACGGAATGAATTATGAGGCTGCTAAGATGTAGGGATCATGAAACGCAATATTATATGGCCGATATTGTGTGAAACAAGTGGTTGGAGAGCTGGATCTAGCGCTTAGTCACATTTACCCCAAGTTGATGGACATTAGTGAAAGCATTGTTGGTAATTGCAGAGCTAGTTTTGGAATCAATATTTGGTGGACCAGGTGTGTCGCCCGAACCAGACATCCTCAGCTGCTCAAGTTTCTTCCATAATTCTTCACGTTCCTTCTCCCGTTTACGTTCCCTAAGAAAAATTAAATGGAATGAACTTTCAAACATTTAAGGAAATGGAACATATGAATAAGTAAATGAAACAGTTTATGTAGAAATGTGATGTCTCTGGAATTTCATTGTTATTAGTATTTGTTTGTCTTATTAAACAGATAAGTATATGTAATCAACATCCAGGCGCACTGCCACGAGGTAACAACAAGAAGGAGGTCCCAACACAAAGGAAATCAAGATCTTGTTGGTAAATCATGTCAACTGTTTAACGAAAAAAGGAGAGATGAAAGTGGTTTTAAAATTACGGAATATATAGTTACTGTTTCTGAGAGTTTTTGAATGTCAAGTATGTGTGAACTGAAGAGTAGTCGCATAAAATCCAATGACCTAAACATACGTTTTCAGATACATAAACCTGCGAGGTTAACACGCAGAACCAAGGTAGAACAATGTGGTCACATTTACTAAGAATTGAGTACACAAGTCTTGACTTCAAACTATTTTGATGTCTGTGAACAACGATCATCTGGGGAAATTGAACTTAACTACTAGTTTTGTGCTACTAAACATCAATCGAAATGAAATTACAAATCTGAAAGTGTAAAAGTTAAGAGTCAGTTAAGAAAATACTGGACCTAGATATATATTGGAAACGCACGGATATTACACGAGCATTCATTTATACGGAATTACTGAGATAATCTAAAAAACCACTTACCTTTGACGTTCCACTTTGTGTTTTTCAGCCAACTGATTGCACAAATTTGTATTCATTTCCATAAAGATTTTCAGAACATTTCCGACCAAAGCTACAATTGTTTGATTCCAATGCTCACGTGAAATACGATAGAAGGATGGGAATAATATTGGTATAAGAGTGTCATGATTTTCTTCAATAAGAGAAACTATATTATCATTGTTCCAATAACTTAGTGCTCGTTCAGCAACCTAGGAAGTACATATTGTAAAATCCAGAAAACACATTAGCAAGTCAAGTGCATTTTATTTTAAGGCGTTTTATTTAGTTTGTTGTTTGGTTTCCTGCTTACCAAAATAGCCTGAGTACCATATCAACATAAGCCCCCGACCTTTGATGAAGTTTAAAAGGTTTGTTCTGTATATCAAGAAATATTGGTAAGCCACTGTTGGCATAAGTATTGTTAAAAAATTCAAAACACATTCTTAAAGTATAAGTCAATTTACACACTACATTTTGCAGAATTTGGGAGCTGGTGGACATTATTGAAGATCTTTATGTACATACTAGAAAATTTATCCAATACGTAATCGTGTAACTGCTCCATAAGGAACTCTGTCAAGAACCAAAGTCGACAATATTTTTAATCAGAGACCAAATTATTTCGAATTTAATTCGTACTTAGTTTGCATGTAAATAAACCCTATAAACTAGCAGCTGAGTGAACCAACTTCCAATGTATCTTGATAACAATATGTAGCAAACTGTAATACATTCCCAAAAACAAAACTGAAACAAACCTGAAAGTGAGAACTTGAGACAGACTTCGCAATTTGTTTAAAAAGAGGGACCATAATAATCTGAAATTGTAAAGGCTCAATAACTTCTAGGATTTCTTCAATTTCACCTAAAAACATAACTTCTTTTTGAGAGTAGGTTTTGGGCCAAAATTTTAAGAGTCCGCGAACAACCTGCTCTGTCAGAGTCGCATCTTTATCCAAGAACTGGACTATGCAGTAAGCAAGCTGAAGAATAGGATTAAAATAGAATGCAGAAATAAATTGATTAAAATTAATGCTTCAAATTAACTAGAATTTGAGACGAAATATACGCTTTCTTAAGCGTCTAACTAAGAACTATATTTTAACAGATTGTAAGGCGATATAACTAAGGCAAGTCATTGATACAAAGCATGGAAAACAGGTGTGATCTAAATATTTCAAGCAGTCATGTTTCGTTTCAATTTGTATAATGTACAATAGGTAATCACTTTTCTGTTTAGTGAGCGTCGATTAAAGAACCGCTTTCAAACAGAACAAACAGTTGATCCTAGTTAATTCTGAATCACATGCTAATTTGGATGGGATATTCGCATTGATGGCCTTTTATGCAGAACGAAAATATCATCCAGAAATGCAACTCATTATGTATTTGTAACCACGTATTGGTATAAAGTCAGTCAGTCAGCTACAACGTAGGACCAGGCACATTTGTGCAACAGTCCAAGTTGCTATACCTCATCAGCACATCATTTCAATTTATTGTTCATATCTTCACCGAATTAACAATTAAAAGAAATAAAACCTTATATACCATTAATAAAAAACATATTTTTGTTATATCCCAATGAGTAGAAGAATTGTATTTCTGACATTTCGTGACTTGATGTAAGCCACTTCTTTTTTATTTACTCCGAAGAAGTGGCTTACATTAAGTCACGAAATGTCAGAAATACAATTCTTCTACTCATTGGAATATAACGAAAAAGATATTTACTTTTAACCTCCTATCTAATCCTTAATTTATTTGAAATTACCAAGCCCAACCTTGGCATGATACCTATAAATTCAAAGACGACTGTACAGCTTAATAATAAAATCGCTGAAAAGATATCCCTTAGCTGAAATTCGTGTTTTTAATATTGATTATAATCACTTAATTAGTTACTATCTAATGCATGATGCCATAGGTGTTTCTTTATTTTATGGTGTGGGACTGGAAGATGAGAAATAATCGTACTAAATTAATTTTTGGCATAAAAATGAGCTCCAAAACAGGTTTGAGAGATTGTGTAGACAAGTAACTTCGGATATCAACAGGTGTGGTTCATAAAAGAAACCAGTAGCAATACAATAGTATATTTCTATCTTGTCATTTATGAACAGTAAAAGAAGTCTTTAGGATGAACGAATTTGATATTCTTTGCAGTGACCACCAGGATTTTCTGACTTAATATGTCTAAATAGAATGGGTAATTTGTTTACAATGAATAAAACGTATTTTTAATTCTATAATGAGCAAGTAGCATGTAATTATATGTATATCTGTATACAGATTTGTTTTATGCAGATAATGACCTAAGCCAAACGAGCTTTTCGAATCCGCGCTGACATTTTGTCAGACACCAACCCACTGTGGCTGATCAGGCTTCCAAGGTAAGTGAAGTTGTCAACGCGTTCGACTACTTCACTCGACTAGTAGTGTTCGAGTGAAGAGCCTTAACAAGGTTTGTGTACTTTTGAGGTACGCCTTTCAATGACAGACACTGTCACAGAACCTCTCGATCTACCGAGTCAAATGCTGCTTCTAAGTCAAGAAAGACCACCATTGTCGGACACCGATAAGCACGCATGTGTTCTAAAACCTGACG